GGTTAGATTCATTTTTCTAATTACAAATGGAAAGCATGATCTCTGTAGAATAATGACATTCAAGTGGTAAAGTAATTCTTATATTCTCTTTTTCTGTTGGATCATTTCAAAGTACACAAGTTTCTCTAGGATACATATTTATACATACTTCTCAAACAGCCCAGATAAAAAATTTGACTATCTTATGCTTGGTTGCCTTGAAGAAGAAAGAAAAAAAAAAAAAAGGAATGACTGTTAAGAACTGAGTTGTGTTCTATCCTGTCCTAGTTCATATGTTGTAACTCTAAACCCTAAACCCCAATGTGACTGTATTTGCAGACAGGGCCATGGGGCGGAGGGGAGAGAATCATTCTCTGAAATGCAAGGTCACAGAACCCGGAACCAAGATGTCCATCTGCAAACCAGGGAGAAAGCCCTCACCAGGAGCTGGTTCAGCAGCACATGATTGGGAATGACCAACCTCCAGAACAGTGGAACTTTCTGTTATTTCCACCACTCAATCTGTGGCATTTGTTTTGACAGCCTGAGCAGACTATGTGCTAGGTATTACTATGGGGAATTTAGTAAAATCACAGAAGAAAACTGTATTAAAAATAAACACTACAGATTTTTTTTTTTTGGTACTGGAGCTTGAACTCAGGGCCTTCACCTTGAGCCACTCCACTAGCCCTTTTTGTGATTGGTTTTTTCAAGATAGAATCTTGTGAACTATTTGCACAGGCTGATTTTGAACTGGGATCCTCCCGATCTCTGCTTCCTGGGTAGCTAGGATTACAGGTGTGAGACACTGGTGCCCAGCAATTTCTTGATTGTTTAAATAACATTTATTCCATTTTCTAAGGATAAAACAACATATAGCCATTGTCTTAAAATCAGGAGAAAAACACCAACAAGGAGATGAAACTCTATTGTGCACAAATAACTAGTTATTATAATTTTAGGATATATGTATTTCAATGGTTTCTATGCAGCTATATATTTTCTTTGCTATTGTGATCATAGTAAATCACATGGTTTTGAGAGTTTTGAGAGTTGCTGTAGTCTTCCAATAAACTATTGTGACTTCTCCTCATATAAGTTAACATTCTTAAAATAACCACTATTATTATTATTTTTGGTAGTGGTGGTGGTGATACTGGAGTTTAAACTCAAGGACTTGCACTGCTAGGCAAGTGCTTCACTACTCAAGCCATTAAATAAACATTATTTTCAGTGGCATCATAATATCTTATCCAATGGATGTGTTTATCTATCTAGTTTTCTTTTGTTTGCTACATAGGTTGTTTTTCAGTTTAACTATTATAAAAAATAGTGCAATACATAGTAGTGATTGTAAACTATTACCCTCAAATAAACTCCTAGACAGACTGCTAAATCAAATTACATAAGCATGAGCACTTTGCTACCTATTGCCAGAGTATCTTCTCGGGATATTTTGGAGTTTGCGTTCCCACAGGTAGCAAGTGAATAAGTGTCTCCATCTACCTGGTGTATACAGAAGGTACCAACAATGATAAGAGCAGTGATTCAGAGACATGCATTTGCAGGATTGAGAAGAAAAGACTGTCAAACTCATGTTTTGCCTTGTATGTGTTTGATTACTTCCAAGTTGATTTTGATTTGTTTTGTGTTATCATTTATAACATATTATTATGGTGAACAGTATAACATCTGTGAGTTGTCTGCATTTGCTGTTAAATTCTTTGCTATTGGATGCATTTTTCATATTGATAAGTCACCATCCTTTTTTAAGTAATAAGACTATTACATATTACATGTAATTTTATTAGATTTAATGTAACAAGTTTCCAATTTTCCATTGTGTCTGTGAGATTTTTTTGATGCACAAAAAGTAATAAATTTTAAAAGCTTTTCATTGCTTTTGAAGTTCAAATAGCCCTTTGCCATTGTGAAGGCATATAAAGGCAAGCTTATTTTTCTTCTAATTTTTTTATAATTGTGTTTTTTTTTTTTACTTTAAAAACTATGTGAAATTATTTTCTGGTGCAAAATTTAAGTGAAACTGTTTTCTTTTCTTTGTTGGATTATAATTATTATCTCAACCTTATTTACTGAATAATCTTTTTTGTTCTCCCCACTGAGTTGAAATTCCAACTTTACAATGTATTAAAATCTTATATATACTAGCTTCTGCTTTTAAGCCATCTACTGGATACAGTATCTCATACCTCTTAAATTATTGTAGCTTTATAACACAACTGTAGCTGTGTTAGACTATTAATTAACTTTACAAGAATCGACAACTTTTACAATATTCATTCTTTGCAGCCAGGCTTCTGGCATTCTTTTATATACATAGTCATTTTTTTTTTGGTTCAGTAAAACTTTATAGGTTTCATAAAAGAATCTCACATTTTAAAATAATTGCTTTTCCTGGTTGGTTTTATTATTGGGATGAATTTTCTCCCACGGTATTTTCTAAATGCCCTTTTTGGGTGAACAAAAAACAAAACTATTAATGCTTTAAAATTTATTTTGCATTTGGCCACTTTAAGTACTTTTAGTTTTGTTACTGATTACTCATTTGATTTGCCTGAGTTTTCTAAGAATAGAATCATTAAATGGTTCACATGGTAATGATTTTTGTCTACTCCTTTAGGAGAACTATTTTTCTTCTTTTGGTTTTACACTTTATTATATTAGTTATAATAAAAAACAAGACTTACTTTAAAATTTTTATTCACTCATTTTCAGATAATTTTGTAGCAGTTGTTTCAAGTTCCAGTAGTCATAATGATTAATATTAATCATTTTGTATTATGACTTTCCAATAGTTAAGCAACTTGATTAATTTCTTAATAATCTGAAATATATGTAGATGATATGTTTTCTGAGCTTTTGTATTCAGAAGCTTTTTACTGAAAATAATAATGTGGCTGGATATATAATTCTTGTAATAATACTTTTTCTCTGAACAGCTTCATAGATTTTTCTGTAGTTTCTTTGGTATTCAGTGTGGCAGAAAACAAGTCTTAACTGGAAGAAAATTTTTCCCCATTCTTAAAATCCATACTTTTCACTCTCTTTAAATGTTAGTCATGTTTTTCATTAACTATGCCTTCACCTAGGTTGGCCTATTTGATCTGAAGAAATGGGTCTTTATTTTGGACAGAAAAGTGTTCTCTTATTTTAAAAATAATTGCTTAAGTTTAATTTATTCTAGCTTCTCCAGTGATCAGCATAGTGTATAGGTTTAATATCTGAGGTTTTGACATTCCAGAGGCTTCACTCTCAAAGTTTTATCTCTTGTCCTTTATCAGTATTGTGTGTGAGTTCTTCTACCTAGCCTTCCCCAATACTGATCTGATATTGGGCAATATTGATCTTTTACTTTCTCTGCTTCTCTCCTCTCCATATTCAGTTGTCTTTTTTCCAACTTAAGTCTATTTCTTCTCTTATTAACGGTGTGGCCTTGGTTATGATATTTAACCTCTCTGTTCTCCATTTTTCTCACCAATGAAAAGAGGATAATAATTATTTCTATACAATAAAATTAGATTGTCCTTGGGAACTTCTAAGAAAGTACCCACTCTATAGAAGTATGTCAGTACATTTTAGCTACTATCATTATCATCATCTTCACAATCATCTCTGTCTACCTTTCAGCAGCATTCTTTTCCTTTAAACTGTTACTTCCTTTTTCAATGTGTGTGTTTACGGAAGTCATATTTTACTGCATTTGGGGGGAACACAACTAAAATGTATTACTGCTGTAAATTCTTTTCACAGTCTCCATCTTAAATACAATGTACCTTGTTAGGTTGTAGAATATCTTCATAGGTCTCACATTGTTGCTATTGTTAATTTTTCTACTTATACCTTGTTGTACAAAAAGAGATCTTTTGGTATTGGATAGGAGAGATTAGTTCTTTTTGGTCATTCTAAATGTCTCCTCAGGAGCTGTTAGAATCCTCTCCTACTGAATGACTGTTGTTTAGCAGGAGGCCTAGAGCTGCGTTTAAAACCACACTCCCCCTACTGTTTCCTGGCTATCCCATTCTACAGAGGGACATGTATTCTCAAATAGTTTCAACTATTCTTCAATTCATCTCATTTATTCCTTGCTCAGAATAATGGGTGAAAACAACACTCTTTGGCTGCATTGCCCCATTTTCCTTCCTATCTTGCTTCATGTTATGGATTCAGATGCAAGGTGTCATCATCACACACCCAGTCTGTTCTTGTCATGCTGCATTGTTGTGAGTTGGGTTCCCAAACAGATTCTTAAACGGTAGTATTGTTGGTGGTTGTGGAACTGAATGGACCTGGTTTCTGCATTTTGGGGAAACAGGCTTGGGTCTCTAAAAAGTAAAGGTCATATACTGTTTAGAAACTGTTCATTTCTTCCTGCTTGCATTTATTACACTGTCCCTAAGCTTTAGTCACATTTTAACGGGATTGCTCTCAGGGTCAGGCATCCTCTTTCTATTGCTGTTGACACTTCTGCATCTGTTCATGTGTTTTCATGAGCATTGCAAAGAAAACAGAAAAGTTGAAATAAGTGCTTGTAGATAGTTTTAAATTTTATCAGTTAAAAGACTTTCTAATCATTGAAGTACAGAGCCAGAGATGTCTTAGATCAAAATTTTAATTTTGTAGTTGATAAATTTTTCATAGTAGTTACCAGACTTGTCTGAGGGTCACCCAGAGGCCCTTTTGGGTCCCCTCACCTTTTGTCATTCTTGTTACTTGGTCATTAAAAAATTTTTAAGCTATTTTGTGATGCCTAGATTCTCAATTCTGTATTTATTATATTTAGAATTGTTTAAAACAGTAATGTAACTTCTCCCATGGAAAAATGCAGACCTACAGGGAAATCTTCACTGACCATCTCTGTTGTTTAAGCACTGTAGGGGATGCTGTAGTGTCTTCTTCCCATCTCTTCTATACCTATTTCTAACAATTATAAGTGAGTGAATATTCAAATTGGGATAATAGTTCTTTTAAAAGAGTTGATTCTTTAATACTTTGTGTTTCAGCTGCAGGATGATTGCTCCTCTCGGCTCAAAATGTCCCACCCAGCCAGAATCCTGTACACCCAAAGTGGGGAGCTGATTACATCGTGGGATGACATAGAGAGAGACATGGTCACTTTTGTGTCTATAGGACATGGCTTTATAACCCAAAAAGGTATGGGTGACAGTTTTCCATCAAGTTTTTCAAGAATTAAAGCATCCAATTTTTTATTCAAAGGCCTTACTTATGGAATCTTATATCCTGTCATGATGAGTTTTAATAATTACGCTCCCTATGCTGTTCTACTCCATGTTATCAAAGTTAAATTTGTATGAGTATGTGCCAAAATATCATTGTTTTCCCTAAAGGACTCAAATTCCCATTAGTCTTGAGTTTTACCCTGGTAAAACTCATCCCTTAGTATTTTACCCCTTAGTATTTTAAAAATACTATACTAGTATTTTAGAAATTTTAGTATTTTACCCCTTAGTATTTTAGAAATACTAAAGGGGTCACATTTGAAGCTATTCCCTTAGTTATGAATCAATCCCGAGGAAAGTGAGATTCCATTGACTTCCTCCTTTTAAAATTATTTAAAACAATGTTTCATTAATAGTTGTATACAGCCTTCAGATTTCCTAAAGTAATATGTGAACTATGCGTGCTTCATTATCGTGTTTCCTTCATCATTTTCTTTGACAAACGACAGAAATGGAATGAACTTATTCTTGTTATGGAATGATCTTTTATCCTATTTTTCTCAAATAATTTAAAACCCCTTTCTATAGGTAGGTAGACATTAACAAAGACATAATTTTCAGGAAATTCTAATTGGACATTATTTTTACTTTGAAGGAAATTAAAAGATTAGAAAGTAAGTTACCTGGTATTCCTATAATAAAAATACTAATTTTTTTGTTTTAAAAAGTCACCATAGTGTCATTAGTATATTTTAGGTAAGAGGAGGGGGTAAACTAAAAACTTTTAAAAAGCAGTCATTGTCATATCTTTACATTTAGCCTGGAAGATAGGAATGAAGATCAACGAGTGGGGAGAACAGTATTTACTGGGATGCCTAGCTTTCTCTGAAGGGTGCCACAATATACCTTCAGCACTCTCCTGCATCACAGAAGAGGATGCAGGCTTTGTGTTCTTTGAGTTCTGCTGTTCCTACCATCCCAGCTCTTGGTGACTTGCACTATGGGGTTATTTAGAAAAACGCACCAATGGTGGGGTTCTTACCATTAGTAAGTATTAGTTGACAGCTTTCTGTGTTCCCAAAGTGCATAGTCTATAACAGAAATATAAGCCAGACTTCCTTTCCTGAAAGGGTTTTCTATCTAACTGAGAATATGAATGCACTTGAAATTATAGTCAATTGAAAAGTTAGCAAATGAGCGCTTCAGTAAGAAGCACTTTCCAAGTCCCTCCATTATTTATACTTAGTCTTTCATAGTCTCAGGATGAGCTTCTGTTTCTCATACCCTGCTCCCCTCCTTGCCACACTGTGTTCTGTTCCTTGGGCTTGTCTGATAAATATGTTTCAGGAACGCTAGCTAAAAGTGTATCCAAGCCACAGAGATCTAAGAGATCTAAGCTGCTTTTCCAGAAACAAGCACTGTCACTAATAAAAATTGTGAAGGGAAGTGAGATAATTGGGAATGAAAATATTACTCTCCCTGCCATATTCCTCCAGGTTAATTCTGGACCTTTGCCAAGTCTATGTAGACAGACATTCACCTTTGCATCTTCAATTTTGTAAACACGCACACCTACTATGCTAAGCTGATTTCTCTGAAAGTAGGTCCCTCATATTATCATCACAAAGGAAGGATTAGTGGCTTTCCTATTTGTCTAAATTCTTTCCAGTGAGTCATGTTTGTTCTAAGAAATATGATTGATTACAGAGAGTTTAATTTAGTTGTTCTTTAGAAACTTATTACTTTTTTCTGAAATAAAGTTAGAAGTAATCATTTAGTATAAAGCTAAACATTCAAAATGCTTAAAAAAAGGAAAAAAGAGAAATGTTATTACATATATATATATATACTTATTAATAAAACTTAGCTGATCAGTCATTCCACACATGAGTTTTCTCTGACCTATTGGCTAAACTATATAGTAAGAAAATAAGGCAGGGCTGGAGGTGTGGCTCAAGCTGCAGAGTGCCTGCCTTGCAAGCACGAAGCCCTGAGTTCAAATTCTGGTATTGCCAAAAAAAGCAAAGACTGGGAGTTTCAAGACTAAATATGCCATAGTAACTTATTTTATGTACTATAATGTCAAAAGCATTTAGCAGGTTAAAGTCAGCAAAATAACCACAAAGGTTTTTGAAAAATGAATTTGATTTGGCAAAACAAACCAAATGCTATTAGAATGATTTTTTTTCACACAAACCATTGACAAAATTGAGAATGTTTTATGCCGTCTACATAGAACCTGAATGTTTTTCTCACTATTTGGTTTTCATCTTTTAGTGGGTTCGATTTTTAGAGCACTCCTAGGTTAGTGTCCAGTTCAGATTTTATAAGAAGATTGTCAGGAAGCCCTCTCTAGCAACTTCCATTCTATTGAAATCCAAAGAAGGTTAACATATATCTGATGTGATGAGCAAGTCAAGTGTGTACTGAGAGTGAGTCTAGGCTGAGTGCTAAGGATTTTGGAGGAATCTTCATGGTTTTCCTCATCCTGGACTTTTAATTGTTTTCTATAAATACATTGACTTTTCTCTCAAAATGCTTTTTTATTTTCTTTTTAACAGAGTTAAAGCAACTGATGGAGGTCAAAGCAAATTATGTCAGAACCTGAAGGCAGCAGGGACCTCAAGCCACAGACATTGTGGTGTCAGCATCCATGAAGCTCCTATCTCTAGTACATGTACACAATTAATTCCTGTCGGACCATCACATTTGCGCTGCATTTTGCTGGTATAATTATATACATATAGACACACACGAGTATTACATGCTCATCTGCTTGTTATCACATGATGATTATTTATCCTTTTAATTTCATTCTCTCTCTCTCTCTCTCTCTCTCAGCAGTGCTGGGGACTGAACCCAGGGCTTCCAGGGCTTCTCACAAGCTAGGCAAGTGTTCTGCCACTGAGCCCCATCCCTAGTCCCCTCATAGAATCTCTTTTAAAGAGCATTACCTTCCACATTTTACATAAAATGGCATTTGATGCCTTAAATCTATTCCTGGAAAGGCAACCAAACCACAAAAAATAATGCAAATAAACTAACTGTCTTAGGTGTACTTTCTTTCAGGAGAAAAACGTGGAAATACTAGTTTTTATTGAAGTATAATTTAACAGGGTTAAGTAGTTTATATATATCATACATATACATTTATATATATTTGTATGTGCATGTACATATAATATTTGATAATAAAGTAGACTCTTTGGTCACCTAGCCCTAGATTTTGGCACAGCTACCCTATTTTCCAAACCTCCATGCTAAAATCCTACATCTGCCAAATAAAAGGGAGATCATCATGTTAGGAAAAATAAGCTAGACTCATAAAGACAGTATTGCATGTTTTCTCTCATCTGCAGATGCTTGACCTAAAAAAACAAAGCAAAAATAAGGACATGGATGGAAAGGGGAGCTATTTGGAGGAGGCAGTAGAGATGGGAGGGCAAAAGGGCTGGATAATGGGGGTGAATATGATCAAAGGACATTAAAATCATGTTTGAAAATAGAATAAACAAGTTAAAGTTGTTAAAAGGGGTGAGTAGGAAAGAGTAATCAAGGGGCGATCAAAATGCATAATATACATGTGTGGAAATGTTGCAATAAACCCTGCTGTATGGTGTTAGAATAATAAAATAGTGATGATAATAATAATAACAAAAGCCTGAAAGGGCTGGTGCCTACTGAGTGCAGCACGGGTCCATCTTTCCTCCTCCAGTTTCTCTTCACTTTGGCCTGGAGTGATAGTGCAGGCTCCTTTATGGGGCACAGTTAGATGTCATTCATGAGAATGAAAGTAGATAATTTCTTTCTTCTGTTTTTGGTGGTATTGGGGTTTGAATTCAGGGCCTTTTACTTGCTAGGCAGGCCCTCTACCACTTGAGCCAAGTTCCCAGCCCTTTTTTGCCTCAGTTATTTCTAGAATTGGTTTTGCATTTTTGCCTGGGGCTAGTCTTCGACTATGATCTTCCCATCTATGTCTCTCAAATTGCTGGGATTACAGTGAGCACCACTGGCTCATTTGTCAAGATGGGGTATTGCTAACTTTTGCCCAGCCTGGCCTTGAACCATGATCCTCTGCATCTCTGCCTCCTCAGAAGCTGGGATTACAGGCTTCAGCACCAGCTGAACCTGGATAATTTCTGACGGATGGTCAGTAACCAAAAGTCATAGACTATGTTCTCAATGCAAAAAAATTAGAGAAATAATAAATAGGCAGTAGTTGAAGGAAGAAAGCATGAAAGGGTTATTTTTAAAGAGAATACAAGGGAGATGCTTAGCAGTCTTAGATTTCAATCTTAAAGGACAAGAAGAATTTACCTGTTAATTTCTTCCTAAGAAAAAAGTACCTTTTTTTTTTTTTAAACAGCAGGGACAAATCAGAGTTTGCTTCTGTTCCTGGTGGGAATTTTCCAGAGAAATACCCCTCCTCCCTGTCTTCCTCTGAAATCCACTCAGAGTCCTGCCTGAATATAAATTGCAGCCTAGCTAGGTGTGTGCAGAAGGGCTCAGCTGAACCCACTCCTCAATCCTCTGCTTTAATGTGCTGCAGGAAGGCAATATATCATTTCTACTGAAGGGGGCTCTTGGTAATCACTGAAAAGGCCTGGTATTTACTCCCAGTCTGCAAATCAGTAGGACTGCATGAATAAATTCCTGCTGCCTCTGACACCACTAAAAGTAAAACACATGGAGGTGAAATTGTTGTTACCTCAACAACAATTTGCCCTTTTACAGACATTTTGTTGTGCTATGTTGGAGATCATGTGAAGCTATTCTAAAGCAGCTTTGTGTCACAAAGGAGACAAAGATTGCATGTCACTCCTATTGTGGGTTTTTGTTGTTGTTGTTGCTGTTAACAAGAAAATCAAAACAAGGGTTAAGGACTTGTTCCCAATCAAAAGTGAGTCAACCTGACTGTTATCAGATGGGTTTTCCTTTAGAATGACTTGATCACAATCCCAATAAAGACAACTTTTTTCTTAAATATAAAATTACTTGAAAGCAACAGCATTTCTGTAGGTGCAAAAGCACCTATCATTTTACTGCCAGGGAAAAGTTGATTTGCTATGAAAATGGCATAATTTCACCCCAGATCAAATGTGCAAATTCTTGTGAAGTCTTCACTGTTGCACGTGAGTATGCCTGAAGCGAAAATTGGTAATATCACACAATGCTGTATCAAGCACCGAGAGACAGAGGCAAAAGTCTTAAGTGAACTTTTCTATTACTAGTAAATGGGTTTTTAGATGTAATGTAACAGTCATCAACACATCACATTTTACCAGCAAGGCAGCAACACTTCCTTTGTAGACTACAGCTTGTCCAGGGTATCTCAGCAGTTCATAGGCACTTCTAACTTAGACTATGAGCAGCCCTAGTTTTTCCTTATTACTGACCTTCCTCTGCTTGGCTGGAGGTGGACTGGGGAGCAGTTACTCCACCTTCAGCAAGACTATAGGACAAGACTATTGCAATTCTGTTCAGCTCTTCCTAGGCTTTTAATAAACCCAGTAATTTCCTTAGGGGACATGGTTATCAAATTGGAATCAGCTTCATATATATAAGTCAGATTTCAATATTTTCTATCAACTGAAAACCACTTATTATTAAATACTAAAGCAACCACCCGAAAGTCCATAGCCTTCTCCAGAAATTTATTTCCTGCTGGTCACAAACACCCTTAAGGTGATCCAGATGCTAATCAGCAGTGTGATTATCCTCAGGAGAATGGAGTTTTCTGTTCACTGCTTGCTTTGGTTGCCGGATTAAGTGTTGAGGTGAAGTTGCATGTTTCTAAGTAAGTTAACTAAAAGCAATATGCTTAAAAGTTGGATGAACATTTTGAAATTAACTGACAGCATTTGTAAATAAACAATTTATCTGAGTGCTTTTGTCAGCTTTGCAAAAACAGGCCACAGTGATGATTCAAATTGCAAAGGTAGCTATTTAGGGCATTGACCCTGAATTTCCATTTTTTCTTGATTGTTCATAATAACAAAATACTGTTTTGTGAACCAAGAAAACAAAGGGGAATAAAACCCAAATGATAACCAAAGATAAAGGTAAATTGTTCTCTTTGGCTAGAGAATCACTTAGAATAGTGGCCAGTAGCTGCTGCAGTATTTGCATGCTAACCTTCAATAACAGCCCAGGTGTGTGAAGTGTCATTGAGTGATTTGTGTTTCTCCAACACAGCAATTTGGGGGCCAGGGAAGAGGTGTCATTTGGAAGGGGGTGGTCATAACACAGAAATCTGTGTTTTTCTATATCATTATAAAATCAGATGCAAATGTTCTCCATTAAATGGAATTTGAACCCAACAGTGATTCTCAGTTGTTTTCATTAAACCAATGACTCCTGTTCCTTCCTGGTTCTGCACACATCTTACTCCCTTCTAAGGCTAGGTAAGCAGAAAGAAAGAGCAGCAGTTTTGTTCTTGATACAATAAACTACAATTCTGCATACACAGCATGGTGTGGGACTGGGTGGGCATAAGCAACTGCAAAGCAAGATCAACACAGACCACTTAGATGAGAGCTGATGAAAGTAAATGGACTTACCGAATAACAGCAGATATTCAGTGGGTGCCTCGTGCCAGCTGTAGTATTTTTTAATTCTGAGTGTCTGTGATATGAAACCACTATCAATAGGCTGTCACACTGTACCATATGTGCAAATAGAAATATACGAGGGGAGGGGAAATGCGTTTGCCCATGATGCAACTGGATTGGAGGAAGGAGGAAGAAAGGAGACAGGAAATTATATTTATAGGGCAAGTAAAATGGTGAGTCTGAATTGGGTGTACTATTGCTGTTTGTTCACAAAAACAGTGAAATCTGAAGGATTCCAGAAGGATACTGCCAGCTTGGGGGTAGACAGAAGGTTTGGTTAAATTGAGGTTCCCATTAGGTTCTAGCTTGTCAGGTCTAGAAGTTACCAACTTGAGAACTGGTGTTGACGGTTTAGCCCAGGAGAGGATGCTCAGGAATGTCAGTGCTGTCAGACCACCTGAGACAGCTGGATGGTCAGTGTTTAGGGTGTTGGAATTAAAGACCCTCCAGTGCCGAAAACAGACACGTGAAGAGACAGAGAAAATCTTGACAAGGCAATCTCTTTTGATCAAAAGGGTGCAAGCACGCATTCACTCCAGCTGAGTGGACAGGCAAGCACAAAATGGCCGACAGTGGCTTCTCCTTATATTCTGACACAGTTGTACCTGTCCCTTACCTGGGATTTGTCCAGGTCAAAGGTTCACAATCTCTCCTGATTGGCTAAAAGGCTTGGGGGATGGGTTAAGGCACATGGTTTGGTGGGCAATGGAACTGTACAAGAATCTGGAGAAGATTTTAAATAATACAAACCATCCAAGATGGCAACGTGAGGAATTTTGAGTAATCTAAGAGAGCAACATATACTTTGATAGATAAAATCGCCATTCTTACAAGGGGCTATCCTGGCAGCTGCATTTTATAGGGAATTGCCCAAAGGCATACTATCTTGAACTGATTGTGCAGATTATGCTGGAGAGAGATGGAGGAGAGGAAGGAAGCCCCAGCGCTCCTAGGTTAGTGCTCCCCAACAGAGGCAGTTTGAATCATCTCTGCTTTCATGTCCATCACTCTTTCCTCTCCTTCTCGCTTCCTCCCTGTCTTTGGCCTTTTCTCCTCTAAGAACCTGTGAGTCCCATCT